ATTTTTCCAACTTGGAGAAAAAAGTACTGCAAGATGCAAAAACGCCGCCGCCCATCAAACACGATCCTTGGTCCCATGCCTGTAAAGCGTCACGCTTACCTCCACTCCAAGCCGCCACCGCTGGGCTCCCGGCGACCATGGCTTTTGTGCTTTCCCCTGTTGAGCGCTCTCAGCAGCCACCTCCATAACTTCGTTCAGAGAACCGTTTGGCAGATTTTGAATGCAGATTCGAAATCAGCATCGAAAAATACGCCTAGCAGTATAGGTCACATTTCAAATGGCTACTTCGACTTGGGATCCTTCCCTTGTAGGTGCATCTACGGTTTGCACTCAACCTTCCTCTTTACAAGTCCCATTGAGAATATAACATCAATTTACGGCAAAATAACGGTTTTTTTTTGGCATTTTCCAATCTTTGGAAGAATTTTTCTACGGAATCTGAGGAGATGGTGTTGAGGCACTCCACTGTCGCAGACATCTCTTTGCTGTCTGCAAATCTGTAATGGCACACGCTATTGTAGATCAAACTTTCTCCCTTGGTATGGCCCCAAACTTCGAACTTCGCCAAGCCCAAATCATAAAACAATTTTTTCCCCTTTCCGTTGACCTTTTTGTAGCTGAATTATACACTGTTAGATTACCCGTAAAAAATGCTATCGAATGATAAATAGGTCAACCCGTGATGAAATCCTCCCTCCACAACCCACTTTCGGCAGTAGGTTTGTCTCTGAGCGGTTTCCTGCAGGGCGTGTTTGGATACGTATGCGGCAGGGTACTGTAGTGACGGGAATTCGGAGGCTTTCGAATGATAATTATATGTATGAATGGTGCATTAGATCTGCTGGTGGCGGGGTACTGAAGTGGCGAGAAGGGGGGTTGGATCGATGAATGATTAATTCAGTGGAGGTAAGATCTGCAGGGGACGGAGTACTGTAATGGCGGGAATGTGGGGCAGTTTGAATAGAAGTTTTAAGGCGGTTTGAAGGGGCGGTGGTGAAAAGGTGGGAGGGGGGCCTGAACAATTGTTTGAGTGGGAGCAAGATCTGCAGGAGGCAGGTTACTGTAATGGCGGGAATGTGGGGCAGTTTGAATAGAAGTTTTGAGACGGTCTGAAGGAGCGGTTTCCATCGTTCATTTGTAATGTGGAGGCTGTAGATGCATGTGTGTCTATGGTCTCTGCACTCAACACTCTTCCTTACAGGTTCCATTGAGACTATGACATCATTGGTAATCCAGGTTATGGCGGAAAATAGAAGATAAGATGGAAAATAGTGCGATGAAAGCGAAGTAACTGCGTGAATCGGAGTTTGAGAGGGAAAAAGGCCTCGAAAAATTCCTAAACAGGGGGCTGGACGAGAATGAGATCAGAAGAATAAAGAAGAGTGGGGCGTTTGGACGAGCTATACAATGTGGGTTATTGCGTACGTGTGGCTCCTGGTGCAAATAACTGACTACGATAAGCAAAAATTTATGCATTGAAAAGCAAGCAGTAAGTAAACAAAAAATCCTAGTAACAGCAAAAATAGCTCGTCTTTTTCAGCTTTCTGGAGTAGGAAATCAAAAGGGATCGTGGCGAAGAATGTCAGAGGAAAAAAGAATGGGAGAAAAACATTGCCTTATCATCCGGCCAACAGCTGATTGTGTGTGAGTCCTAGAACGAATAATTGCGACCTGTATCATCTTGACACTCGTCTATCGTGAAGTCTATCAAGGAGCCGGAAGCGAGCCGGAAGTAGGGCTTCCACTTTGCTCTAACCGTCGAATTTTCGAGCGCGAGAGGGTCCTTTCTATCACCATTGGGGGTCACAGAGTATTCCTAGGGGAATAACTCAGTGACCATTTTTATCGTGAACCGTGTCTTTAAGGTGGTGTTGATTCAAAAAGGTGTCGAAGGCGGTGTATCGTTACTTGAGAAACCATGAAAAGCGCCTCACGTGCACGGCCGTATTTTATTATGCAGATTATCTATTGGAAGCAAAGTATTAAGTTCACCGAGTTGGTTAATCGCGTGAAGCCTGCTCTCACCCATGTATAGAGATCGTTCGCTTTGATCAGAACGCATGAAAGGCATATTTGTGATAATTCCTTGGTTTGAAAGAATTGAACGCACCTGTTTTTTGTGAACAGCACGAGCAATGCGTCACTAATGTCGATTGTTGTTATAATTCTGTTGAACAGGTTTTGGATTTTCCTGGAAAAATATCAGTTGGTGAAAATCTAGTGGGGGGTGGGGGGAGGGAGGGGAGGGGGCACCCATTCAGAGGCTAGTATATCAAGAATTGAACTCAATGAAACGCGTTATGCCGTGATATATCACGGACATGCCAGTTTTTAAATAAGGGCTTTCGTAGGGAAGGAACTCCGCGGTGGGCGAGTTTTCTTTTTTCTTTTTTTTTNTTTTTTTTTCTTGCAGGAGGTAATCATTCCAGCCATTCAGGTGCTCCGACCCTGCCTAGGCTTATTTGGAAAACTAAATTTCGTTAGTTAAACCGCATAGGAGGGCCAAGGTGGTCGGTTCCCATCATTCTCTACGCATCCGATGCAGTGCTAATATAACAAGAACTAACACGTTAGACTGAGTTCATTTATTGATATACTGACCTTCAGATGGGTGGCCCCCCTAACTGCATTTTCACCTATCAGTATTATTCCAATATTTTGGACTAAACCATTCTCAAATAGAGTCATATTTCATTCCTCCACCTGGGAAGCAACAATCACACAGCCTATGGTATCATGTGATCTGCTTTGCCCTGTCGCATCTATTTCTTGTGTAGGTCGCTAAGTTAAATTAAAACTACCCTACGGTTTCTCTACCTATCTCGAGGTTGAAGTAGGACATGGGATGTGAGAATTAGTGTAGGACCGAAGGTGTCCGAAATTCGAGGCAGCATTTGCAGTATTCTGATCTCGGTTCAAAATGTATATGGAATTCAAGGAATGAGTAGAAAAAGGGTCAAGGGATCATTTAGGGTTAGGGTATCACTTCGTTTAGGGTTCAGAACCTTCACTACTGCCGCGGATGCTTGGAAAGTGAGGGAAGGGACGACTAAACGAGCTTTTCCGAAGTAGCTGGTTCGAAAGAAATC